TGAGTTTGATACCAATGATGGTATGGGATTTCTAGTCAATCAAAGCCAGATCTTAAGAACAAAGCTTTCTTGACCTCTACATACATTATCAACAGGTCATTAATCATTTCAGCTGAAACCTATCCCACTCCCCTCCATCCCATTACAGAGACACCACCAGAAGGTAAGCATCAAAGGACAAAAAAAGCAGTACTGTAACCTATGCAATGCCAAATATTCTCACTTCTGGTTTCCAGACCAGCACCAACATGAAGCAAGCACAGTATCAGTAAATAGAGTTTTTCTCTCTTTCAACTAGCCACCTAAAGTAGCGACAGTTTTCTCTACCAAATAAGCCTGAAAGCTTATAATCAAAGATCTCTCACAGAGAAAATGATTAGGTATTCTAATCGGTTTTGTTTTCTTTTAAAATAGCCTTTTGTAATAATTCTTTACTGAGACATCCAATTAGAAATAAAGTGAAATTATTTCATAGCATATAGATGAATAATTTACATATATGTCTATATTATGAAGAAGATGTAGAGCACAGGTTATGCTACACTCATCAGTTAATGCTGTATCTCCAGCAGAGACTTTATCAGGCACTTTTACACTCCTGGTCTAGCTGTGAAAAAGCAAAAGTATGTTTACAATAATAAAAACCTTTACTCATCAACACTTACAAATCATGAATTCTACCACTTAGAATGAATTTTTTAAAAAGGCAATAATAAGACTAACAAATAGGGCATCCACAAAGCTACAAGTCTGTTTACCACAATCCATAACTAACCCACACATTATGGGTTGGTCAAATGGTCAAAAGCTATATACATATACAATACTATAAATTTATTAGGTTATCTATCTTGGATATCAAAAATAGAGATCAAAAACAACTAAAGTCTACAAGAAAATCACATTACATTTTAGTATAAGAAAAATAATTGACTAAGAATAGAAATGGTAATACTAAGAGTGCACAGACTACTGAAACATTCAAAATTTTCTATTAAAAGAATAAATTGCTGTTTTTAAGCAGGCAACACCAGTTACTTATACAAAGTAGATTTTCAATTATCAGTCTATCATTTGCTAATTTGCACTCTTGGTGTTAGGCAGATAAGGTTAGGCTCTCTAAATCCCTTGATGATATTCTCATCCAAATCCCTAAAATCGCTAAATGTTTTATTGTACATGAAAAAAAAATGTAGATTTCAACATTGTTTGTTCTAAAATAATGATATGAAAGGGTTTGAGAAAGGTCTGTAGAAATTATTTCCACACCCTGCATAGATCTACTAGATTTTAAAATATCAAGTAAATTTCCTCTTTACTTAAGGAAGCCTTTCAGGGGACCTGGCTTCCGTGGCATTAGAAGAGTTTCCAAGTGATGTCAATTATCCCAATTAGCAATGTTCATGCAGTAGGAAATAAGACTACTCAAGATCCCTGTATGCTTGAGTCCTGAATCATTTCCACATTATATCTTATATAGAGCCCGTGAATTAGCTCCCCAGACCATTCTACTAAACCAAGGGCATTTTCTGGGTTTCTTGCTTAACTACAAACAGTGAAATAAGTAAGATCTGTATGTAGCCATCATGACTTACAGAAATAAACAGGACTGGGTGTGTAGCTTAGGGGCACCGTGTACTTAGCAAGTGTGAGAGCCTGAGTTAGGCCCTGCACAACAAACAAACCAGCAAACACTTAATAAGCATATGAAGAATTGTCCCCATCAGTAGGTCCAAAGAAACCATCATCTTATCCAGGATATTCACACCACTGATGCCAGAACAGCTGCATGCATTATCCCATTCCCTTTGTATGTATTATTTTGTCATATTTAATCTATAATATTCTTGAATACAACTTTCTATGTTTCAAAAACAAACAAACAAAACAAACAAAACCCAATCAGTGCCTGTCAATTAGCAAGAAAAAGGACCTTACTCTTACAACTCTATTGAAGTACTTTAACTAGCAACCTGGGCTGTTTTGAATGAGCCCCAAAGGCTCATATTTGAATGCTTAGCGTGCATTTGGTAAAAGCATTTAGAAATGATTAAGAGGTGTGTCACTGGGGAAGAGCTTTGAGTTTTCAAAAGCCCAAAGCCGACTTTATCTCCAGTTAGCTTGCTCGCGCTCTCTCTCTCTCTCTCTCTCTCTCTCTCTCTCCATACCCCTACCCTCCTTCTTTCTCTCATATAAGCTCTCAACTACTGTTTTACTACCTTGCCTGCCAAAATGACCATGGACTCATACTCTGAAAGTGAATGCAAATAAGCCACCAATTAAATGATTTCTTTTATAAGTTGCCTTGGCCATAATGTCTCTTATTCTTTTTAATTTTTCTTTTAAATTTTGAGCTAATAACTACAATATTTCTCTCTTTCATTTCCTACCTCCAAATCTTCCTATGCACTCTTTCCAACTCCCCTTCAAATGCATGGCTTCATTTTTCATTATCACTGCATGAATGTGTGTGTACATATGTATGTGTGTATTTCTAAATATAACCTGCTCAGTTGGTACTTGTATGTATGTTTTCAGGACTGACCAATTGGTAAGCGCTTCCCTAGGGAACAACACCTCTCCCAATCCCAGCTTTCCATTGTTGCCTATATAATTCTTTGCATAGGATTAAAACCTCATGGACTTCCCCCCTCTATTTTGTCATGTCCATTTGTGTTGTCCTTGTCCAGTTCACATTTGGGCAGTCATGTTGGTGGGGGTGGAGTTAGCGTCTGACATTACTAGGAAACACATCTCACATCAAGCACTAGAAGAGTATTTGACATGCAACCTAAACAAGGGAAGGAAGGGAAATCCTGCTTATTCTCACAGCTTACAGTAACAAACCTAGCCTGTGAAACAATTTGATTTTTGGCTGGTGAGGTCAAACCTGAGCCTCTAACCTTCTAACCTGTAAGAAGATGAAGAGATGATATTTTTAAGCATCAATGACATCGTGCTTTGATAAAGCAGCAATAGAAACTAGTGTACTTTCAGAGCAGCATCACCGGGACCATAGAAAAAGAAGGGTAAGGGAAATGCCCACAATGGGACATGTAGAACATTTTAAATTACCTAGCCTAATGTGTGTATCAATAATTATGTGTCTAGTTAAATAAAATGCCCAAAACTAAGAAATAATATGAGTGAAGGTTCACATACATATGTCTTCTTCCATTACAGCAAATCTTTAAAGTAAAAAGGGGTCTTTCTAATATATATATATATAATATCTAGCAAGAGTAGTAAGGTTGGACCTCAGATCCACCTGCTTCATAAAACTTCAGCCACGGAGAGCCTAAGGTAGACCACCATCCACAATTCTTCACAGGTTGCAGTCCACTCCTACTACAAAAATGTAGGAAAATGATCTTATTGCTTATGGCTGTCAACAAAGAAGAAATGTCTCATTTTGATCAATATTACCAATTAGTTCTGAAACCTATAATAAACAAATACTAAGCCATTTTTCTGATGATCTGAATATCTACAATTCTTACTTATTCTGCCAAATTTAAAGATCCAAATCACTATACCACATTACAACTTCATAGTTACACAGCATTTCAACACAGAAGAAAGCATTTCACTTCAGTGCAAACACTAAGGTTACAGGTCAAGGCATGCATGCTGAATGTCATATTTCTCATTAAACAGAATGTGATTACTGCCTAATAGGAAGAAGTAGTTCAGTTTTGTGCCTTTGTAAACAACTCCTCAGAAACAGACCTTAATCATTTTCTTCAGTGTTACAGCCACAGGACATTTGCTCATGCTTGATTAAATAGCCCCACCCATTCCCATGCAACTCTAATTAAACTAAGTTAAGTAGTTCACCAACTAAACCAGACAACAACAGAAATATAAAAACAGGAGGGGAACTTTTTGGGAAGAAAAAGGAGTTCAGTGGGAGTGGGGAGGGAATGTGAAAGGGACAGAAGGCTAAACAACCTATACACACACACACACACACACACACACACACACACACACACACACACAGAGATGAATCTGTAAAAAAGAATCAAAATAAACTTCTTAAACAAGAATTCATTCAAATGCTTCCTGATTTGCCAAAGGCTAGACTTTTATATATATTTTAATGTCATGCAATCTTCTAAATACACAGGTAACTAAAGAGTGATTTTTTCCTAAATCCACAAAATGGTCCTACATACAATTGTTCTTCAAGGGGAATAAACAACATTTACTTGTACCACAAAGTAGCTAAGATAAGGCCCATAAGCTGCATTTATCATTTTTCTAACTGATTCTGTCAACTTCATACTGTGAAATAGTTTCAGTAAGATACAGCCCTCTGCCGTTTGCTTCTCCTGAAGCTACAGGAAGGGAAAATTACCATCAATTGTTTGAACAATGTCCCTCTTTTCATGCCACCAGGTGAAAGCAATCTGATTTAATACCAACTGTTCATTGTAGGTGAAAAGACAAAGTATATGAGCTACAATAAATACAGTTGACAAGAGCTATGAACAGAACTTTTATACCCACTTTAATGTTAAGATAGATTTTAAAGTACGTTTTACATTATTACTACTGGGAAAAATCACATTTGCATTAAGGAAGCTTTAGTAATTTCTTTTTACCACACTCCCTTCACCACCAATAATTCCAAATTTAACTACTCACTTTTATAACCTGTTTTCTAAAACCACTGACTGAACTTTAACAACAGAAATCCAAATCTACTTAACACATAGCCAAGAGAAAATGTTGCAAGAAACCCAAGTGCTAGCTTTAAGAGAGAAAGCAAGCATCCACAGCAAAAAACCCAGTCAGAGTAAACTGTCCTACAATAATCTCAAAATAGAAAATTTCAGGAATGAGTTTCCAACTCATGGAAAATAAATATACCAAAACTGAAAGAAAAAAAAAATCTATAGCGAGAGGTACACAGTGTGAATGATGAAAACCAATGCTATACATGTTCAACTAGAATACACACACTATATATGCTTAACTTTTCTGGTAAAACTTACCAATTTAGCAACTTTGCCATAGTCAATCCATCTGACAGTAGCAAAATTTGTAGACTCAGCACAATTGAAACCATGATTAAAACCAGCATGATATCCATAAGGAAAAGTGATCATAAACTCTCCAGCCTCCTGTGTGATCTGTAGGGTTTGATGAAACAACATTTAATAAGACTTTCCAAATCATGTAATGATTAGTATACATTATCATTTTCTATTTTTAAGAAAGCAAAAAATGTCATGATATCACAAGTATTTTAAAATGACAAAAGTTCTAGATGTTGAGATCGTTCAGTGGTTAAAAGTGCCTAAAAACTTGAATTCTGTCTATGGGATCCACAATGCAAAAGGAGAATGTGTGTTGTCAGTGATTACTGAGATTGAATATGAACTCCATACCTCATCTACAGATACAACACAGAAAAAGGATCTACTACTACCATCTGTGTTCTGTGCTTCTCTTTTACCACAACTTCTCCAGATGTGACATTTTGTCATTACTTCTCTTTCCAGATACTCTATATATTCTTGATGATAGTCTACTAATAATGTTAAGCATGTATTTCTGAATGAAAAAAATAATAATTTTACCACTAGAACAGACATAAAATAGCTACAGTGATTTTCCAGCCTTGAACACCAACTACGTGTGTCAAATGAATAAATGAATAAACAATATGAAATGAAATCCAGAAGAATAATAGTCAGGAACAAGAGGTCTGTCAATCCTAGAAAAGATACCAGTTATTCTACAATCTTTTGGGCTTTTTAAAAAAAGAAAAGAAAATGAAGTAAAAATCTATCAAAATCTTAATGAAAGTTAGAGAAAATTTTACCACTCAGTTCTCACTAACAGAGGATGCCCCTAAAGCATCAGAAATAAACCCCATGTTAAGAGGAAATAATTCTCTTAATATTTCAGTTTTAAAATGTTCAGAAATGGATGAATATGTAGGTATATGCATTTAAATATTTCTCAAGCCCACTATATAAATATAGGAGTGCACACTGTAACCAAACTGTCATCTTAGAGTTATTATGGTGGTGAATTCTGAACAATTTAAGGAAGGTCAGATCATCATCATATCAAACACACAACCAAAAAATTAAGTTCACAAGCCCAGGTCAAATCACAGGAAAACAAACAAACAAACAAACATGAAGAGCCAAAAACAGCATGTCTCTTATCACATTCATTAGTCTATAGAAACCTCAAGACACATCATCAACTATCATAAACTTTAAAAAAAATAATTCAAGGAATTTTATAATGACACAAACACTTTGCAAAAGGAAAACAGAAAGACCTTGAGTTATACACAATAATAAAAATACATACTTGAACAAGATAACAAAGATAATGCAGGATTTGGAAACTGAACTCAATGGAGAAAGACACTGAAGAGAACACAAGCTTAAGTGAAAATGGAACTCAGACATTGAATATATCACTTAAAAAATTCAGACGAAGCCTTACAAATAGAATGAATCAAGCATGATAGAATATTAAGACACAAAGTAAGGGATCATGACAATTTAAAAAAAAGGAAAAATTTAGAAAAGACAACTTCACAAGATAAGAACATACAGAAAATGTGGTACACCATTTAAATACTAAGTCCTCAAATTATAGGCATAGAAAAAGGAAAAGAGTGTATAAGAGTGATACTGGCTTTGTAAAAGTTTGTGTGTGAGGTTTTTTGTTTTTGTTTTTCCTTTTGTTTTTTAAAGAGTTTAAGAAGTACAGGTAAATAATGACTGCAGACAGAGTGAAAATTAGTCTCTTCCAGAAAATTATTAGTTATCCAACATTACAAAGTGGTCACTCCAGAAGCCATATGAACAACAAAAAATGGACTCAACCAAATGTATTTATATATTTATGCAAAAATATACATAGGTATGTAACAATAATTTTCAAAGAAAAGGAGGCTCTCAATTTTAGAGTGGGAATAGATATAGGAGGACTTAAAGGGAGGGTACCTGGGAAATACTGGACAAAAAAGGGAAGGAGAAAATTATGTAATTCTATTTTAATTAAAAATGTATGAAAATAAAATATGAAAGGAATTTTATTAAAAATAAGAATGTTACAATGCAATGTATGTAGAACACAAAACCATTCATCTAGATTATCTTTTCTAATATTTAGAATAAATATTAGGCAATCATTATAATATCTCTATTTTGTAGGTGAAGAAACTAAAGCTCTGAAAAATAATGTAATAGAAACCAGGAGTAAACCCAGCAGATGTAATACTACAATCAATGACTGTCACAAGCTCCTGTGATATCAGAGAATGAATTCCTTGAGGAACATTATGTCATCATGTGCCCTGCATCAAGGTGGAAAACAGAAGTGAGCACAGTTCCACATGACATGCCATTGTCAATCATTAAGTTACTGGTACCTCGTTTCTAGGATCTTAAACTCTTCCTGCTACTTTCTATCAAAGCCACAAAAGCTCAACACACCCAGTGAAGTACTGTGTAATAGTAAAGAAGCTGTTGCAGCACAGTAAAGATTCAGTGTAGCATCTGCTTCCTTCTCTCCAAAGATTGGAAAGGCTTCAAGCCCCAAAACCCCATCATGGTAAAAACAGCCTACTCTGCACTACTGATAAAGTACAAAACCCTCTCTTAACACGGGTCTTAAGACTATCCTACCAATACATAACTAAACCAGCTTTAACCTGCAGGTGATCTGCTTCCCATAATGAATGATAGGCAAGCACACTAGCACTACTAAACTATATATACTAGACCTTGAATTTTTTTTTAAATATAGCATCTTGCACTGTGTCTCAATGGGCCTCAAAAAAATCACAATGTTCCTAGGGACCTCCCTCCCTAATCCATCAGGTAGGCTGAGATATTTTCCACTCTGTAGGACTACCTCCTATGCAATCTCCCTTCTCAAACAAAGACAATGGATAAGTATCACTCTGCCACACACTAGAAGCTCTTCCAGGATCTTATCTCCAAATGCCTCCACACCGTCAAGGCCTTCCAGGTTCCCCTCACCCAACACACTGACTGTTGCGTCCCAACATATATGCTGCCTACTTTTCCAGGATCTTACTTCCCACTGCTCCAAGATAGCTTCTACCCCTACTGACCCCATAGTACTCCAGACTACACAAAGAGAGCTTTCTAAGATCTCCTTCACCCAACTACCACTTACATGAAATTTACTCAAAGTCAAGCAATAAGTCTTGAGTAAATTTCTGCACTAGAAGGCAACAGAAAGAAAGAGCAGCAAGGAATGTGCTGGACAATGTCTGCTGCAAAGGAGAACAGAAGACCCTTCATAGAAGACTAGGAAGAGAAACTGCACTGTAACTAAAAAAGACCACAAAAAGTCAACAAATGACAGGAATTAATAACTATTAATACTAATAGGTTCATTCTCCAATCAAAAGACACAGATATCAGACTGGACTAGAAAAGAGTGCATTTTATGGCTTCCTCCAAGAAACATATCCCATCTTTTTTTGTTTTGTTTTTGTTTTTTGGAGACAGGATTTCTCTTTGTAATAATTATGGCTGCCCTAGAACTTGCTTTCTAGACCAGACTGACCTGGAACTCACAGAGATCCACCTGCCTCTGTCTCCCAAGTGTTGGGATTAAAGTTGTATACTGCCACCACCTGGCAATATTCTACCATCTTAAGGTAAAAGATGGAAAAAGGTATTCCAAACAAATGGAACTAAAAAACAAACAGGCTTAGCTATTCTAATATCTGTCGAAGTAGACTTCAATCCAAAATTAATCAAAGTAATGAAGGACATGCCATAGTCATTAAATGAAGAATCCACGAAGGATTTACTATTGTAAATCTCTATAGATGCACCAAGCCCAGTTGTATCCAACTTCATTAACTACACACTATTAGATCTAAAACATGCAATAACTCTTAACAGAGTGATTGCTAGTTATTTCACACTCCATTCTCACCAAGAAATTATGTCGACTAAAACCAAACATAGAAATGATGGATTTAAATGATACCATAAACCAAAAGGACCTAAAGAATACAGAACATTCCATAAAACAAATTCTTCTTGGGAATCTATAGAAGTTTCTCCAAGTACATCAGGCATACCTAAAATGATAGGTTTATAATAAATATTAAGAGCCTACAGTGAAAAATATGGGACCTCTCAAATTAGTAACAGAAAGATATACCTGAAGGCCTTGAAATAACAAGAACAAACAAAACCAAAACCAGTAGGTTAGAATAGACAATAAAGACTGGGTATGAAATTAATGAAATAGAAACAAAACATGCAAAAAAAAAAAATAAGTGAAATGAAAAGTTTTTTCTTTAAAAGGTAAACAAGATTGACAAAAATTTTAGCTAATTAAGCAAAAGAAAGGACCAAAATCAATAAAATTAGAAATGATCAGAAAGACACTTAGGAAACTCAGAAAATCATAAGAGCATGTTTTAAAAACTTTATGTTCCACTAAACTGGAAACTCTGAAAGAAATAGATATTTTAAGATGCATGTGATTTTCTAAAGTTAACTAAGATGAAGAAAATAATTGAAACACACCTATAACAACAAATAAATAGATTCAGGAACTGAAATTCCCACAATTTTAAAAAAGAACCCAGGCCAGATGCACTGAGAACAAAATTCTACCAAGATATTCACAGAAGAACTAACAACAATACTCCTTAAATTTTTTGGTAAACTATAAAAGGAAGAAACACTTCCAAATTCTTTTTGTATATCTATCTATTATTTATTATCCTGAAAACAAAACCAAAGACCCAACCAAAAAAAAAAAAAAAAAAAAGAAGGAAAATAACAGACCAATTTCCAAACCAAAGACCCAAAAAAAAAAAAAAAAAAAAAAGCAAGATGGGCAAATTCCCCTTACAAACATAAAAAATACTAAAAAACTAAATTCAAGAGCACATCAAAAATGTCACAGACCATGATCAAGCTGGCTTTATCCCAGATTCAGGAATAGTTCAACATATGTAAATCAATAAACAAAATCCACTACATAAATAAGACTGCACAGATACCTCAGGATGAACTCATTACACTTATTAAAAGTCTTTGACAAAAATCCATGAGCATCCTTTCATGATAAAAGTCCTAAGACAATGTAGGAATACAGGGGATATTTCTCAATATAATAAAGGCAATATACAACAAGCCTAGAAAATGTCACACTAAATGGAAAACAAAGTCAAATCATTTCCACTAAAATCAGGAATGAGACAAGGACAGTCATCCTATTAATGCTCTTTAATATAATGCTTGCAGTCTTCACTATAGCAGTAAGATAAAGAGAACACAAGTAGAAAGGGGAGACACCAGAGAATTCTTATTTAAAAATGGTTCAGTTATATACATAAAGGACCCCACAGACCACCAGAAAACTGCTACAGCCAATAAATATGTTCAGAAAAAAATTCACAAACAAAAATCAATAGGCTTTCTATATAGCAATAACAAAAATACTGGGGAAAAAAAAAATCATGCAAACAATCCAATCCATAAATACCTAACAGGAATGAAATAAATTTTAAAAATCATTTACATACATATGCATGTATGTATTTGTGCTGTGGGATATTTGTACCCTGGGTGAAGACGTATAGCTGTAACTGGTGTAATAAAAAGCTAAATGGCCAATAGCTAGGTGGGAGGTATAGGCGGGACTTCCAGGCAGAGTGAGAGAACTCTGGGCAGTAGAAAGGCAGTTACCAGCTAGACATACAGAGGAAATAGGAGGTGCAAGATGAAAGAGAGGTAACACCATGTGGCAAAATATAGATTAATATAAATGGGTTAATTTAAGTTATAGGAGACAGTTGAGAACAAGCCTAAGCTAAGGCTGAGTTTTGATAATTAATTAGTTTCTGTGTCATTACTAGTGGGCCGGGAGTCCCAAGGAGAATCATATATCATATATAAAGCAAGCTAAGGAACTGAAAAACTTGTACAGTGAAATCTTTAAGGAAGAAATTAAGGAAGATACCAGAGGCTGAGAAGTCCTCTCATGTTCATGGATTGGTAGGATTAACAGTTATGTTATCAAAAGCAATTACCAGAATCAATACAATCTTCATCAAAACTTCAATGCAATTCTTCACAGAAATTGAAGGTAAGAATCACAAAATTCATGCAGAAACATGAAAGACTTAGGATAGTCAAAACAATACTGAACAATAAAAACACTGCTAGAAGTATCATCATCATTGATTTCTATAGAAATATACTATAGAATTATGGTAATATAAAAAGTATGGCAATGTCATAAAAAACAAATACACTGATCAATAGAATAAAATTGAGAGCCCAGACATGAGCTCATACTCCTACAGTTATATGACTACTGACAACACTTTTACAGCTACCTGACAATTGACAAAGAAGCTAAAAGCACATTGGAGAAAAAAAAATCTTCCACAGATAGTATTGGTCAAACTAGAGAGCTACATGTAGAAGAATGAAATTAGATATTAATTTTGACTCCACACAAAAGTCAAATCCCCATGTATGAAAGACTTGGATTATGGAAATCAGTATGGAGGTAATTCAAAAGGCTAGAAATAGATATATAATATGACCCAGTTACAGCATTACTGAATTCTGGTATATTCCCAATGGATTCTGTATCTTACTATAGAGATATTGGCTCCTCCATGCTCATTGCTGTGGTATTGACACTAGCTAAGAAATAAAAGCAGCCTAGATAACTACCAATTGAAAAAATGTGTAAAGAAAACATCCTATAAATAGAATGTTACTCAGCTATAAAGAAAAAACATAATTGTGAAATTCACAGAAAAATGGGTTGAACTATAAATAACCATTCTGAGTGTGTTAACACAAACCCAAAAAATACCAACACACGTTCATTAGTACAAGTGGGTGCTAAATGTTGGCTTTGAATCTTTCAATATTTGTTTAAATTGGAGTACTCAAAGAAAATAGCCTAGTAACAGTCATGGGAGGAGAGTGGATTTCAAGAGACAGAAAACAGAATACAGGTGTTTGAAGGGGAAAAGAGGAGTAACAGTATGAAACATTAAATGAGATAGATGGATGGGATATGAGGGTAGAGAAATTGAGTATAGGTGAGAAAATTAATATTAAATAACTTTTTAAATGGTATATTGTGACTTAGTATCTAGAAGCTTCCAAAAATATATGTATACATAAAGAGTTTGAATGGAGTTACCCTATAATTAATGAGGGGACAATGTCTCCCCTAGATAAAATGATACTATCAAGTAAAAAAGGCCAGTGTGAAATAGGGGTTATCTCTGTTTGAGTTGTTGGTCAATAAGGTATCCTAGACATTTGCCCCAAACATTACAGCTATTGCCATTGCTTGAGACTGCCCTCTACAATTTGATGTAGACACCACATACTTGACTCACAAACATTGAAAAAAAATCATGCTGGTACTGACATGGAAGCATCTTCATCCATATTGGCTAGCTTCCATAGCACTAAAAGGTTATATGAACACTACTAAGAAAGAAAAGTCATCAACAGTCACCCAGCTTTGAACCCTCAGAGAAACAACACTGAGCTGGCAAGACAAACTCATTTGTGTAATAGTGTTACAACTGTTACAGTAGCAACCAAGCACTATCTGCTTGGATTTAGAGTTCACCCCACAGGATGAAAGGTATGCCTGGTACCATTAATTGGGTGCAAACTTCTTGCTTGGCTAGGTCATAGGCCCCAGGGGAAGACCTATCAGAATTATTCTGATAAATGGATATAATGATAAACTGCTCTCCTGTACAGTTCTTTGCTTTATAGCCATTGATTAGTGCATTTCTCAACCTTTAGTCAGTAGACATTGAGATCTACAACTGGCCAGTGTGCAAAGACTAAGCGACCATGGAATGTTCAGCACTAAATAAGAGTGTCTATATCACACCCCTTCCCCACAAGGCTTAAAAATCATTCTGGAAGTGGGAACAGAAAGAGAAGAGCTGGAGAAATTAGATATCTGAAGAAAATCAGTATTTGCCAGACATGATAGCACCATGATTCACACATGAACTCAAAGCAGTTATGATGGTATACACAAAAACTGTACACAATCGCCAGGCGGTGGTGGTGCACACCTTTAATCCCATCACTCGGGAGGCAGAGGCAGGCGTATCTCTGTGAGTTCGAGGCCAGCCTGGGCTACCAAGTGAGTTCCAGGAAAGGCGCAAAGCTACACAGAGAAACCCTGTCTTGGAAAAAAAAAAAAAAATGTACAAAATCAAACAAGCCATAATCTCAGTATGGATGAAGAAGATCTCAGATCAACAAGTCCCACCCTAGCTGAAGAGGTACTGGCAACTGATATCTAGTGATATCAGTTCTTTTTCAATGTGTGGCCCTTGAGAAGCTATCCATCTTCCAGTACATGATCCTACACCCATGCATATATATAACTCACTAAGTAGACTGTGAGGTTTAAAAAAAAAAAAAAAAAGCACAATAGGTTTGGAGGGAAAAATGGTTGGGTGGGGGGAGGCAAGCTCTGGATGGGAGGGAACAGTGAGTGGATTTTATCAAAACATATTATATTTATGTATGAAATTCTCTAATAATAAAAAATTAATATGTATAAACACTAGTAAATATATTTTAAAATGAAATAAACAGTTAAGACTTAAATTGTTGATGTTATAGAACATGACCTTAAATTTCTCTTCATCTATCATAAGTGTTATTTAATAATCCAAGATATAGTACTGCACTTTAAATTCATCCTAAATACAAATACCACAAAATGAAAAATCTATTTGTGAAAGCCTAACAAGGACAAACCTTGTCAAAGGGAATGCCATACTTCTTCAGCACTGAGGGGGAAATCAGTGTCATCTTGTGGCGGAGAAATGCATCACAGCCTTGGGAGCTGCTAGGGAAAAAGCCTAAAGATGAAGAGTAAATAAGGGGTCAGTTAAAATAAGATTTCATATAGTTTTTAAAATATACTTGAGTTCTCATGTTCTGACAATTCTCACTAAAAATCAACTCAAGTCATAATTCTTTAAAAGTAATATAATTTATGTCAAAAGGCTAATTTTTTCAAAATATTTACCAAGAATTACTTTTATAAATATAAAATTGTTTAAACTTTAGGAAAAAAAATTCAATTAGATACATATTTGAACTCCAGTTGCCCAATATAGTAAAGAGCCTTACTATTCAAGCAACAACTGAGAGTAAGAATGCATTTACTAGACAAATCACTCATTGGTGATTCTGAAGAACTATCCACTGGAGAACTAATCATTCTGAAAGCATTTGCTCCCAAAAGCCCAGCATACAGTACACACCAAACAGTCCCCATCATTCTTTGTTTCCTTCAAATTAACTTCATACTAACCAGTACTAACCTATAGTAGTCTATAACTATGCTTGACAACAATTAATTAAATATTTCAAAATCACAAGAAGAAATGATATCTCTCTTAAATGACAGATTTCCCCTTTCTGAGCATGGTATAAGCGTTTGGAGATGTCAGAATATACAATATCCATCCATAATTACTATATATCAAGTAGAAATAATATTATTTTAGGGGCTGGGGAGAGGGTTAAACTGTTAACAGCCCTTGCTGGTCTAGCAAAGGACCCAGGTTTGGTTCCCAACGCCCACATGGTGGCTTACAACCTTCTGTAACTCAAGTTCCAGGGGATCTGATGCTCTCTTCTGACCTTTAGAGTACTAAGAATATATATGGTACACATACACACATATAAGCAAGCAAACACTCAAAACTCATAAATAAAATAAAAAACTTGATTTTTAAAAATCCCTTCTTAGTCAACATAAACAAAATGCTTGGAAACTTGCCTTACCAGCATATGTGGGGAACTGACTTTGGAGAGGTCTTAAGAGAGGAAACCTAAACATTCAGGAAATCTTTTATTCAACAGTATATTGTGGTGATATTATGTTCCCCAATATATTGTACACCCTAATAAACTTATCTAGGGTCAGAGAACAGAACAGCCACTAGATTAGACATAGAGGCCAGAAAATGATGGCACACACACTTTTAATCCTAGCATTCTGAAGGCAGAGATCCTTCTGGATCTCTGTGAGTTCAAAGCCACACAGAAACAGCCAGGCATGGTGACTCATGGCTTTAATCCCAGGAAGTGATGGTGTGAGGACCAGAAACTAGAACCTTTTTAAGCTTTCAGCTTTTAGCAGCAGTTCAGCTGAGATCCATTCGGATGAGGACTCAGAGGCTTCCAGTTTGAGGAGACAGGATCAGCTGAGAAGTGGGCAAGGTGAGTTTGGATGTGGCTTATTCTGTTTCTCTGATCTTTCAGCATTCACCCCAATACCTGGCTCCAGGTTTGTTTTTATTAATGAGACCTTCTAAGATCTGTGCTACAATATTTAAACATACATTTAACAGTGTATTATGCTTTAGGTCATGGCTGATTTTCTCCATCACTGCCCTCAATCTTGCTAAGGCATACTCTCATTACCTTGGTGATACAAAGGAAAGGAAAATGAAAACTGGCATGTTTGATATCCTGTTCAGCCCTTTCTCTCTCAAAGGTTAAGCAATCTCACCAAAGAAAGCAGAAAACAAGTTACATTGAGGAGAAAGACAAGAGATATATGATAATAAGAGAACAGATCCGGAGGAAACAAGAGGACACCAGGGATGATGCCTATACAGAGGGAGGTAGCAAAGGTGCTGTGTGACCACACTGTCTAAAATGAAGGGAAGACCTGCCAGCATATTACTTATCTAGTGAGCCCTGTAGCTCTACACACCAACTCAGAGTAGTCTACTTGAAAAACTCATTAGTACTCATCCAATTAATTGCAAAAAAAAAATTCACAATGTTTCAATTTTGTGTTAGACTGCATTCACAGCTATCCTCAGCTGTGAGCCACAAGCTGTAGACAAGTGTTTAATTCCGAACCATCTTATCCCTGTAGAATAATTTCCCAGAAATTTTTTAAGTAATTTAAATATTTGCTTATGCTTCTTCAGTGGGGGGAGTAAGGCCATAGCCCATATATAGGAAGGGAGGGAGAGAGGGAAGGAGGGATGGATGCCAACAGAGATGGGCAGACAGAGGGCTGGGGGTAGGGGGGAGTGGAAGCAAACAGCCAGGAGAGAAACAAGAGAATTTAAGTAACAACTTGGTAGAAAAATACATTTGGGGGCTAGACAGTTGGCTCAGCAGTTAAATGTCTATACTGTTCTTTCAGAAGACCCAAGAGTCTAGTTCTTAGCACCATGCTAGGAGGCACACAACCACCTGTAACTTTAGCTCCAGGAAATCTGATGGCGTCTTCTGTTTTCCAGGGTCACCTTCACTGACTTGCACACACCCTACACATATACAGACATACATTTGCATAATTAATTTTTTAAATAATCTGTTTTTTTTTTCCTTAAGTATATTCTGGGTAAGCACCTGCACCTGTTTAAAAGCAGGCAAGGGAGGGGGGAGGGAGAGCAGTTCACAAAATCAAGTCTCTGTGGAGACATTGGGAACTACTACTATTCTCCACAAGACTGACACAAACAAAGACATAACTTTTCCCTATGGGGTCATTTCACAGCAGCCTTACCATGATTAATAATCATAAAATGTAGACACAAAGTAAAACTTTAGTGAGCATAGAGAAAATGCTGTACCAATGTAATGATTAAGTCGACACAGTAAGATGCTCTAAGTCTTCTTACCTTCAGAGAGGGTAAAGCACCCAACTCTGGGTGGTCTCCAAATTCAAACCCATGCAAAAATTTTAATAATACAGTTCAAATAGATCTATCAGGCTTTCCAAATCTGTAACTTTGTGCTATACTATATGAATTGAATTTTAAATTAAAATCACTGAAGAAAGAAGAGTCTATTAATTTGCTTCTGAATTGGATTTGTAATCAGGACATGAACAACAGGGAAACATGTCAAAATTTAACTTGAATTGGAAAACCACTGAAGGAAGGTAATGTACAGTATGTTACAAATTTCACATTGGTTGAGAAATTATATTTACAGGGTGTTATCAGAAATATATTTAACCACATCTTGGAAATTAGAGCCAGCACAAATTGAGTACAAGGCATGTGTACTCATACTCTCACTTCATAGGTTACAAAAACAATTAATTTGATACACAACTACACTACTGCTCAAAACAAAAACAATACCTGAAAGAATGAGGTCTGGCTTTCATAAACAATATTAAGGTCTGTCAAAGTCAGTAAAAAGCAAAAAAATAATTAAGATCTCACCAAAAAAGATAACAGTAGAGTAAAACTCCACTTAAGAACATCAGTCACCAAATGGACTTCTGCAAATAAGGTCATCAAATATATCTTTCTGAGTCCATCTTAAATTCTTTATTTTCCTTATGTATTTGACAGTAATTCATTTATAAGAAATGTTCTCTGAAAGTTCCCATGATTTAATGTTACTATTGGAACATTCTATAACATTTACTTATTTGTCAAATCAAACATTAATGGGACCAGTAATTGTTTCATAATCCTCAGAGGAAGAAGTTTCAAGAAGGTCTTTAGTAATGCTTCAATCCTGTGGCCACAGAACACCTCATATATTTGGGCACCAACAACATACAAGATAATCCTGCCACATCTTCCTAATGCCTTGGCTTTTGTAGCATAACATCATTTGGTTTGTTTTCATTTAGAAACTAAAATATATAAAACCTGCATTAGTGTTGAAAGTAACAAAATTCTCTCCCAATTTGGTACAGATGTGAAGAAAAGGTACTTGAGAGACATCCTACTTGAGGTGAAAACCATCCTGCAAAACTCTGTATAAATAATAGTAAACATCCTTTCACCAGAATTTTTGGAGGTTGTTTGTTTTATAATACTTTGGCTGGGCACTATTTTTTCTTTCTTTCTTTTCTTTTTACCCCTATTTTAGGACAAAAGGGCCAGCCAAAGAAGCCCACCCTGACCCTGAAAAAAGAGACAGTGAAAGAAACATACTTTGGCCCTGAAACCAGAACCAAAGAAACACAACCCTAACCCTGAAACCCCTGACCCTGAAATCGGAGCCAAAAAAACTACACTTTGGCCCTTGAATCAGAGCTAGTGAAACAAACACACCCTGGCCCTGAAACTAGAGCTAAAAAAGGCCAGTGAAAGATACACACTTTGGCCCTGAAACCAGAGCCAAATCTGCCCTTGACCAACTGAGCACAAAATCAACCAATCCCTGGGCACGAAATCGAGCCAATCTGAACTTGTCCAAGCTCAAGGGCATTGAAATCTGACCAATTCCCTCCCTGAAAATCTTCTCCCTGGAAAGACCCCACCCCTAAGAAGCCCTATATAATCCGTATGCCTGTTCAATTGACAGCTGCCCTTCTCCGTGCTGCCAGAGGCAGCCACTCTCTCTTCAAAGAGTTTTCACCAGAGCAGAGTTTTCCCAGCAGAGATTCCGCTCTGCTGGGAAACTCCCTCGCGGAATGGAGCTAAAAAAGCAATGGACACCTCTGCTGGGAAATTTCCCTAGGCGAGCAAGGCAGAACAACTTTTTGCTGGAGCCTGAGCAGATTGTTACATTTCTATAGAGATTTCTCCCTTAGCAGAAGTAACAACTTGGGCTGAAGCTGAGAACCAACAGACATCTCTGCTGGGTGGGAAACTCCCTTAGCAGAGAGTATCAGTGCTCAGCTGTAATGGCTCTCTTTCGGGGAGAAGCAGGATTGCCACACCCTGCAGGGAGGCCATCCCCCAACAGAACTCAGTTTCAGGTATAGCCTGATTTCCAGACAAGTCAGGATACCTTTCCCTCCACAGCTGTAGGTATGACCTTGATTTCCCCACAAGTCGGGATACCTTTCCCTCCACAGCTGTAGGTATCCAGAATACCATCCTTTCACAGCTGTAGGTATCCAGGATACCATCCT